ATGTATAGCCCTGAACATCAAATCACTGACTGAAACTTGACTTAGTAGTGAGTCTTGTTAATAAATTATTTTATTGTGCTGTCAAAAAAAAAAAAGAAAGAAATGTATTATTATATGAGAATAATTTGGAACAAGGGAGTATAGTGAGGGAAGAAATGTGCAATAGTAATGAATACATTAAAATATAAAAACAATTTAAAAAATATACAGAAGGGGGAAAAGAGGAGTACATTGGCTGAAAGAATTTCATGAAACAACTTATGATCAATAGGCAATGGTGATGAAGGAGGAAATTCAAGCTGCTTAGGTAGAGATCCATATTTGTTCCCATTCCAAAAGAAAGTGACCTGACAGAGTGTGGAAATAATCAAACAATATCATGACTATCACATGCAAGCCAGATCCTATTTTAGATTATCCAAAGATAACTGGAACAGCACATCAACAGAGAATTCCAGATGTGCAGGCTGGTGTTCAGAAGAGCCCATGGAACTATGGACATTATAACCAAGATTAGAGGGATCTTAGCTGAAAGCAGAGAGTATCAGAAAAATGTCTTCTTATGTTTCATCGATTATGCAAAGACATTTGACTGTGTGGATCACAACACATTGTGGCTAACCTTGAGGAGAATGGAAATCCCAGAACACTTAGTTGTGCTCTAGTGAAACCTATACTTGGACGGGGTGGTAATGGTCAGAACATAGCTAGGAAACACTGCATGGTCAAAATCATAAAAGATGTATGCCAACGATGGATCCTATATCCATATTTTTTTCAATCAATATGCAGAATATGACATGCGGGAGGCTAGGCTCTATAAGGAGGAATGTAGCATCAGAATTGTAGGAAGACTAATCAACAACCTGCATTATGCAGATGAAACAATCTTGCTTCCTAAAACTGAGAAGGACCTGACAAATTTGCTGCAGAAGGTCAAGGACTGCAGCCTTCAATACTGACTGAAGCTCAACATCAAAAAGACAAAGATTTTAACCAGTGGGCCAATTAACAGCACTATGATAGATGCTGAAGAGATTGAAATTTTAACAGCTTCAGCTTGCTTGGCTCCACAATCAACACTTTTGGTATCAGCAGCCAAGAAATCAAATGACAAATTACATTGGGAAAAGTCTGCTGTCAGGGACCTCTCCAGACAACTAATGAGCAATAATGTCAGCCTAGAAACTAAGGGGCACTTGGTCCAGGACACTGTCTTCACAATTACTTGCTATGCATCAGAGAACTGGACAATGACTAAAGACGACAGAAGAATCAATACCTGAGAGTTGTGTTATTGAAGTCCATCCTAGAGAGGGTAAAACCAGGATGCTCCTTAAAGGTAAGGATTCTGAAGCTCTGTCTGACATACTTGGGGTATGTTCCATGGAGGGACCAGGCCTTAGTAAGGGACATCACCCTTCAAAGGGTGGAACGACAGAGCAAGAGAGGACGACCCTGGATAAGATGGATTGACTCAGTGACTGGGGTAATAGGTGTAGGTATGTCAGAGATGATGAAATTGGCTCAGGTTAGAGCAGGGTTCAGAGCTGCTGTACATAGGGTTGCTATGAGTCAGAGTTGACTCGATAGCACACAACAACATGTTCACCAAAACATTTTTAAAAAAAATAAAAAAAGAGAACCTACAGACTATGGAAAATATATGGCAATGACATATCTGTCAAGGGGTTCATCCCTAAAATTTACGGAAAACTCACAATATCTCAACAAGAAAAACAATCAAGACAATTAAAATACAAGCAGAGAACAAGAGAAGGCTTTCCACCAAAAAAAAAGACAGATGGCCAGTAAATATAAGAAATGCTTAAGGTCATTAGCTATATAAATCAAAACAATGAAATATCATCTCATCCCACTAACAAAAACAAAATTATTTTTTACAGTAAACAACGCTGCCAATGATGTCAAGAGATTCAAATTCTCATACACAGCCAGGAGGAAAAATGGTGCAAACACTCAGTTGGGCACTTCTTCAGAAAGTTGGGAATAAAATATACTTTTTGATCCAGTAAATCCACTACTGGTTAAATAGCCTAAAGAAATTAAGATATACTCACCTGTGTTCATTGTACCATTATTCACAATAATATCAAAGAAATGAAAACAATTCAAATGTCCATCAACAGATGAATGACTAAAAGAAAGCTATAGTACATTCACACTAGGCAGTAATACACAACCTTAAAAATTATTCTTGCATACTTACAAGGGATGGGAAGGAAAGGATAGGAGGGTAAAATTAATAAATTATAGAAGGGTGAAGGAGAAGGTAGCAAGTATGATCACATAGTGTATTTAAGTAATGTTATAAATTAAAATGTGTATGAATGATTGATCAAAAAATCAATACACTTTGCAAACTTTAAGCAAATCAATTTAAAACTTAAAAGAACAGAAATATTCTATATACAAAACAGTAAAAAAACCAATAAACCTCTCTGCAAAACAGTGCACAAAACTGCACAAAGGATATACAATCCATTAATAATAACAAAATGATAATGAATGTACACCATAATAAACATAATAAATGCTATATGTAAAAATCATTAGATTGTGAAATTATTTCTTTAAAAGTATCATCCTGTTAGAGGTGTTTAAACTGCCCTCAAAATGTGTGTATGTGCAGATAGGTGAGGGCTAGGGAGGAGAGAATACTGTGATGAGATGGTAAAAACTTTCTGATAATAAATTTGGAAAAAACTGAACAGGGTAACTGCAAACCATTAATCTAATATTCTATTTCCGGGTTTTATTTCCAGTAAATAATGTAAGGACATGTGCAAAGACTAAGCTACATGGATGCTCTTTTTTTTTCAGAGTTATTACTTTTATAACAGTGAAAATAGTATAAAAACAAAATCTCCAACAAACTGAGGTGGATGAGAACAGATAGCTACAACAGATTTACTCTTTATAGTCTTCCGAAATAATTACATATATGTGAAAGTGTAGTAATGGAAAAAATGTTCACATAGCAACTGAGTTTGATGGATGGATTAGTGGGGATGGGTGAGGCGGGGTGAAGGAGTGGGAAAGATCCAATTTGGACATGAAAAGTTGGGGTAATGGTAGGCAAAGGTCACAGTGTCTGACTTTATTAAGCACAATGTATATAAATGATTGTATGAAACCCAAGGTGAATGAAGGAATGTGTGAAGCACAATGTACACAAATGAAAAACAGTGTATAAGAACCTTGTAAGAAAACCCATATAAAATTTTTATAAAGAACTCAAGAAAAGTATTCAAATAGTAAATTTCAAACATAACTCAGTTACCTAAAGGAGCAGAATCAATTTTTTTCCAAGGATTAAGGTATGTTTTTTTTTCTTTCCAATCTGAATATTCCTGACAACTTTCACTTGGCTGATCCCATGGTAATTCTAGAAAAGAAAAAGAAATTTCAATTACCTAAGTGTTCATATCATTATATAGTACATTCATATCATTATATAGTGCAGGAAGAATTTCCTGCAATTAATATGATTTCTAAGAAAGGAAATTCACAAAAACTTTAGACACAGTTCAAAGATGAATGACATACCTTCTGCACAGCCACTGTCATGTGTAATCAAGTTGACTCTGACTCATAGTGACTCTATGCAGAACGGCTCTGAAGTCTGCCCTATGAGCCAGTCTCACTGACTCTGACACGCCTTCCCCTAGTGCCCCATTTACTATAGCAATCCATCTCATCTGGGGTCTTCCTCTCCAGGGCTGTCCCTCCATCATTCTGAGCATGCTATCCTTCTCCAAGGACTGGTCCCTTCCTGGCCACAAGCGCAAAGTATGTGAGGCAGAGCTTCAAAATCCTAGCCTCCCATGAGAAACTTGATTTCACCATCTCCAAGACAGACCTATTTGCTTTCTTGGTGGTCCATGGTATGTTCAATACTTTTCTCCAGCACAACTCAAAGGCATCAATTCTTCTTGTGTCATCTTTAGTCACTGTCCAGCTGTCTGATGCACAACAAGTAATAGTGAAGCCCATGGTCTGGGTCAGGCACACCTTTAGACTGACTTTTGGTCTTTAGACTGACAGGGTTGCATCTCGGTAAGCGGGAGACCTTGACAGATTTTCCTGGTGCAATTCATCTTTTGACTTCGTGACTGTTGGTGCCAATAGTGTTGATTGTGGAGCCATGCAAGCTGTAACCTTCCGAACTAGTTTTTCCTCAAAGTACTGGAATTCTTAAAGAGAATTTTATTTTTATTTTTTTTTCACATAAAAGCTGTGTGTGTGTGTGTATATATATATATTTCGTTTGAGGAAAAAAATAGAGTTATATTTGTAAGTTAGCTACAAATAAAAGTCAGAACTTAAAACTAACACATATATAGAGAGAAGGAGCTCTTTTGGCTTAGTGGTAAGGAACTGTGCAGTGTGGTCAACCCAAAAACACAAGGTTTGAGTCCACCAATTGTTCCACGGAAGGATGAGCAATCTCCTCCTATGTGATTGACTGGCTCTGAAAACCTGTTACAGTGCCAGCTATAGGTTGGTTCCAACTTGATAGTACATAATAGCAAAAACACAACATATATATAGATTTTTCTTCACTTACATCATTGATTTTGATATAAAAAATGTGGTTTTCCATAAGACAATGTTTTATCATGATTAAATACCTCTTACCTCCAGCCAGCATTGCAGTAAGGACTATCCCACAGGACCAAACATCAACTGGTTCTGCATTAAATTCTTTTCTCTTCAGAAGTTCTGGAGCAACGTAAGGTAAAGTACCACACATCCTGTTCAATAAACGCTCCCGATTATTATGCCGAAACACTGTTGCCAAGCCAAAGTCAGAGATTTTGAGGTTATCTAAACCAAATGGGAAAAAGGGTTGTAAATAAATATACTTAAAGGAACTACAGAGCTTGACGGGAAAATCACTGATGTTACCAGCAATTTGGGTAACTTTGCTGACTCAAATAAGCAAAATAAAAATAAGATTTCATTTTCTTTTATTAACTGAGAGAAATATCACAGGAACACAAAACAGGATCAGGTTCAAGAAAGATCCTGGAGTCAATAGTTCTAAAAAATAGCGCTTAAAAAAAAAACTTTAGGAGATCCAAGATGGCAGCGGAGGAAAAGACAGTGTGGTGAGCTGCGGGAGCAGCGAACCAATTAAAGCAGGGCCATTATGGCCTCCTACAGACTTAAGCTTATTGATAATTGAACACTTAAAGAGTTGGTGACTGGCCCTCAGTGAAGATCGAGACTCAACAACAGGAATTCCCAAGGAGGAATGGGTGAGTCTCGTGGCTCCCAACCCCCTCCCAGAGCCCACCGCCGCACTACGCAGCATAGCTGCTGCAGCTCCATGAGGCTTCTACAACCGGAACCAATGGATTCCCTCACCCAGGATGGATACTGGGCACCAGTCCTCCTCAAGACTGGTACAGTGAAGCCACCACACTGCCGCAAGGTGGACTTGTCCTGGAGAGAATTCTTGGAGCTAGGATGGTGGCAGTGGGGGAAGCAGGTGCCCGCCGGCACCCCGCACAAGAGGGGCGACGCGGCAGCCGAGTGCCCATGCGGCGGGTTGGGGGGAGCGCACCCCCAGCAGCTGCCAGCGCTGAGGGGGCCTAGGTGCCCCCAGCCCACACTAGGGAGGGAGGCGCACACCCCGCTGGTCGACTGCATAGGAGATGGGGGATGGGATGCATGCCATCTACAGTTTTGGGTTTTCTTGGACAGGCCAAAGAAGACGATTAACTATACAAAGGATTACTGAAAGTCACTATGAGTCTGATGACCTTAACAGTGGCAGTATGCACAAGAGGACCAACATCCTAAATGCACCACATATTTTGTTCTGTTGAATGCTTCTGCCAAAAGATGGTTAGACCTGGGGGGAGTCTGTTGAAAATTCTCAAGTTCCCTTTATCATACATAAAGGGGAAGGGCAGTGACACCTACTTCAAAATATAG